TTTTTTTTTTTTTAGGTTTCTAAGAAGGAGAAATATGAATATGTGGATGATGATGAAGATTATGATGTATGGCGTAAAATTGAGCCCCTCTTCAACTACATAAATCCCCATGCTTTCGATTGTCTTTACACGGTGCGTGTTATTCTGTTCAGGTGTCGTGATCTTATGTTTGTTGCTTTTGTTATTCTGTTCAGGTGTCGTGATCTTAGGTTTGTTGCTTTTGTTAATTTGTTCGGATCTTACTTTTGTTTCTGAAACTCTGTTCGTTGTTTTTCCTCATCTTACGTTTGTTGCTTTTGTTCATTTGTTCGGATCTTACTTTAGTTTCTGAAACTCTGTTCGTTGTTTTTCCTCATCTTACGTTTGTTGCTTTTGTTCATTTGTTCCGATCTTACTTTAGTTTCTGAAACTCTGTTCGTTGTTTTTCCTCATCTTACGTTTGTTATTGAAACTATGTTCTTTCCTAGGCGGACGGCATCAGTTTATTGGCTGAAAAGATATCTGAAAATATACCGGAGCTTAAGGAGTTGGTCTTGGAGATAAGAGGACTGCTGAACGCCGATTTACTGCATACTGTCAATATGCAAAATTTGGATGCCAAAGCCAAGGAGATTTTAAAAAGACACGACTTTTTGGAGGCGACTGAAGAGGCCCTTTATTATTCGGTATCATTTTGCTACCTATCATTATATTATCTCTCTCTCTTTGGAGGAATTGTTCCTATCATGATATATATCTCTTGTTTTTTCTTTTGTTCCCTTTGGCAGTCTGGAGTCTTGGTGGGTCATCTCGAAGACTATTGCAAAACAAAAGATGTTGAAGAACGAATGCTTGGGATTAAGCAAGATCCGTGTTTCGAGCCCTTCTTAGGATGGACAGACCCATTTGATGTCATGAGGTAAGATGCATTCTATTATTATATCTTTCATTCTGTTCTGTGTGTTGTAGTGTGATATTAGCAAAGCCGTAATAAGTGTGTCTGTCTAATTTTTATGTATGTTTATATTTGAAGCGGAACATTGTGTATTTTGTTCGGGTACTTGAGCGACGAGGAGTTCCACACTAAGTTGACTGAGATTAAGAATGGCTGCCAAACCTCCTCTCACCCAGTCTGATTTTTTTCGTAATATTGATTATCCTGCTAATCTCAATGTAAGAGTATATATCATTTTGTTTTGTCTGTATATGAAGTCACAAATCAATCAAAGAAATATCTGAAATTTAAATATTTAACAGGGACTGAAACAAGCGTTGGCCGACAGGTATGGTGAAGAGTCTTGTCTTTATAAGACTGCTATTAAGACGGTATGTGACTTACCGATTTTACTATTGTAATTAGCTCCGTTCCGTTTTTTTATATTTATTACATGTGACCAAGCCTTATGTGTGGAGATTGAGGATAAAAAACCTTACTTTGAGGAGAGGGTTTGCCCATCGCCTATCTTGATAGGCCCTAGTGCAAAGGGCCATAGGATTAGAAGTATGAGTGTTTTATGGTTTAATGACCGTTTTGTTTTGGGTTATCCCTCTATTGAAGTTATCTCTTAAGTTTTTTTTTTTTTTTTTT